CCTCTATCACTACTCCTATCAGCCCCCTCCCTCCCCCTGTGTAGGGACTGTGCTGCTGCTGCATCTTCTCGGTAGCGGCACTGCAGGGGCCGAGTACCCTCCAGTAGCCACACTAGGGGATACCACCGTTCGAACCATGCCAGGCGACTTACTCTGTGGGCGCTGGCCGACCTAAAGATGACCAGTAGAGAGGACGTATACCGCGCCGACCCCACCGTATTCGCTCGTTGCTCCTGCACTGGCGCGGGGGGCTTTTGGACTTCCTCCGCTCCGCTCAAGCCCAGGAAATTCCAAAAGGACATCAAAAATGATGAGAAAAAAACTACACATGATCACCACAAGTCACAACATACACAACTCTAGCAATCCTACTAGCAGGCAAGGACCATCGCCTAGTACTCACATCCATGATCGAGTGTATCGTGAAGATACGATAGAGCTCAAGCGGGATCTCATCACAACTGTAAAATAAGTTCCGTTCTGTCGTGCTAGTAGAAGTAGAACGGATCTATCAAAGACCTCATAATCGTCGGGTGATATACGTAAGCTCTCTGTCGTACGATGCCACACAACTGTTGCTATCACTTCCCTATGTCGGTGTTCCGAACACTCCTATCGACCACAGCTGCCCATCAGGACGGTCATCCCCACTATATCTCTCGGAGTGTCACTCCATGATGACGCAGATAATCCTGAGCTCTCCCACTGCATCTACCCCCCGAAGAAGGATATGCTCACTAGAGCCTACATAATGTACCATAACGCCTCGACGCCCTCCCCCCTAACCCTATAAGGATCTACGTTAGTAACCCACTCTACCCAAGGCATATATCGCAAAGGAAACTCATAGCATCAGCACCGTCAGCAGCAGTAGTAGTATATTAGAAGGCATCACCAGAGTCCAGTTGTGTTAAACAGTAACGTCATAGTCATCTCTACCCTTCTAGTACTCCTACGAAGTAGATCGCACTGCTTGGGCGAAGTGATACCTACTACGATTATAAAAACATCCTCACCAGGAATCGAACCAGGGACCTCCACCTGGCCACCCTTACATATTCCGCGTGAAGTGATCTCGATTCTTCGTTTGGAGGCTGTCCGTAACTCCCACCATCAGCTCCGAGAAACACTTTCCCACATATCTGGAGCGTTGAGGAATCGCAAGAGAGCAAGATTCCTCCTTCCCACCCAGCACTTACTGTTGACGTTCTTCCGTTGGCTGCTGCCTCACAATTAACTCCTGAGCTTGAGAATACGTATCTTTGTACCTGCGTGCAATAATACCCATACCATCTTTTCCCAACTCATCCAATCCACCAACTCACATCAATATCAACGCCAATATCGGTCTCGATATACTCCATGTAGAGTTGAATTCCCCCGCCATTATCAATTGTAACATCAGATTCAATACCCTACGTAGCTCGCCATCCACAGCCCCTCCGACCACCAACAGCCCATGCGTCACTCTGGCCACATCCTCTGCAGTAGCTGCCGTACCTATAACAATACTACCCAAACTCTTCCCAACCATCACATCCCTACCTCCCCCCACCGACGAGCCCACTCCCGTGTGAGCGATGTCATAAAAGAACGTACACAGGTTGTCAATACTGGCACAGCATTGCATGCAAACACTCGTGTCAAACGACGTCAGCCCTTCCTCCAACGCCCGAACGAGTCCAGCTAAACAGAAAAAAAACAGACACTAACCTTCAACCAATGCGCGCTCGCCCTGATGATCGATTAGCAATACCTAGATGCTCCGGCGACTCAGCAACTTCGCAAACTAACTTCGCATGGTTTCTCGTTGCCAATTCCAAGAACATGAAGAATCTGATGATAAGAAACTCCTCTGGAGAGTTTGACAAGGTTCGACGAAGCTTACGGTTTGAGGCACTTGAGGTAACTCATCAGATCTGCTATCGAAATCGACATGCACAACTTCAATGCCAATGACAGCGACATCGACAGCGAATTGTCATTATATCTACAACCATATACATAGTCCAACACGGCCGCGCTCCAACCTCCATCCCAAAGACCCATGGATCGAATCCCCCCACATCCATTATTACAGCTCAAACACGCCAAAGTTTGTATAGTTGCCGTGTAGGGCGTTGCTGAAGAGTTCCAACACACATCCGATCCCCTTATACTTCTCATGATAGATGTCTTTATATACCGGCTGAAATCAACAAGATAACCGACCACAACTATCGAGGGAGATGCGGAGTCCCAGGTTCGAGTCCTGCCACCGGCATTTTTCCGCTCACCCACCTGGCTCTGTTCACGTTGCAAGATTCTCTGACTATACGCCACTAATATCTTCGATGCCTCTCGGAATAGGAGGATTCCATTCGGCGAATTCTGGTCAAAGTTTATACGCTGCGCCTTGTTGTACACGAACTCGGCCACCTAAACAGAATATACTCGATAAACCATGCCAGAGCCAAGGCAAACATCGCGAGTTCGATTCCCGGCACGAACATTTTTATGTAATAAAAATAGAGAAAACTACACAGATATACGTATCACACAATGTCGAATGACGAGTCTAAACGTACTCCTGAGATAATAATGCAAGAACGCATAAGGACCGCAATTGAATATAGTGCCGCCAGCAGGAATCGAACCTGGGTCTTACGAATTTAAGGAGGGGCGTGGTGACATCCGGATCATCCCAATAGAAAGTGAGAGCCGCTGAAAAGACGGTTATTTTGCAGTTCTGCGGCTGCTTCGGATTGTCAACCAACCAGTTGAATAGAATCGTGTACCTGAGCAACGATTATACTTGCGCAAAATATTCCGTATTCGTGAATAAATCCCCCATTATTACATATCGTGCGATACACAAGCCTGACATATTCCTCTCAAATCTCTGCACAAACCAATTAGTGGCAACCTGAGCTGCTCACTGCGGAGTGCTGATCCATCCCCAGTGTTGGCGGCTTGCCACAGCTGCTCCAAAACCTATCACAACCACCGTCGCAAAAAATCCCAAAATTTTCCGAAATTTTACACTTTTTACCCGATATTGCGGCATCATGAAAGTATTGAAAGTCTCCAATGCCATCGTGCTCGTAGTACCGTCTCGACACTCCATGAACAATAGCTTACCAAGAGTCGCATAATACTGTGTTCCTGAGTGAAAAAACTCGTAACCGGATTTTTTCACCCCCCATATAATCGTTACGGTATCGTCCATATTTCGGTCCAGCATGGAGGAACCCCAAAGTCGCGCTCGCATGATTCGCCATCAAATGACGTACCTATACACATCACAACATTTACGCCTCCCATACAACCACAAAAAGATACTCCAACGCACTACGAAGAACCTCCCTACAGCATAAGACGATTAGCAAATCTCAACGATTTAAACTTTGCGGTATTATTCAAGACTACCACACCAATTCCAAATCACCATCGCCCTCACTACCGTATCATTCTTCAGCAGGAGCTTCCCACTAACGATAAGGTGCGGACTCATTTTGTCGACAGAATGCACTATGTTAACACCAGCTGCCAATTCATAGAAGTACGCCAGGGTTTCTGACATCGGAAATGTTCGCTCTCATGGAAATTATTTCGCGCGCCACAAAATTATTACTTTTCAGAACAGGCTCTAGCGTATACCGATGTTGCAGGTTGGTGACGATCTTCTTGATTAGAATTCCAAGAATAGCATCCTCATCCTTCAAACCAAGCACAGTGCCTGTGAGAAAAAAAGCGCTCGCCATCCTAATCGATATCAAAAACCAACAATAACAACATGATGATGCACCAACTTACACACTCTTTCCTGGACAACTCTACTGGGGTTCTCTGACGCACCCATTGACACGTCCCCACGCAACAAGGCTGACGATGGTGGCGCATCTGAATCAATAAAAATATCTTATAGAGCAAACCCGGACCTAATCCGTATCATACCATGAGCAACCTAAGATACCATCACCAACCAAATCATTCCACCAAATTCACTCATACTCTCACTTTCACTGCGCCACGGAATTACCAATCCTATATATTATTATTACTAGCTGACAACTGCCGTGCATGCTCCCCAATATACACCTTTCTAAACTGCTCCATAAAGTAAAGATATCTGACCACCACCATCATCGACCTCAAAATACCACACGCACGCGGAAGATTTTCATACGATAGTTCAAGAGTTTCCAAATTAGAGCCATCCTTAGATTCTGGCGGTAGTGTCGTATTAGCGTCCGTTTGATTCATCAGAGAAAACACCCGTCCAGCAATCTCGCCGTTAATAACCTGAAAAAAATACAATAACAAAAAGAATTGCAAAAATGGCATCTCCTACATGCAAAGGTTGGGCTCCGCTCGATTGCTGTTGTTGTTGCTGATGCGCCCTCATACTGCCCGCACCTAAATTCGGACCTAATCTGTATCTTTCGTCGTTGAACCTAAGATACTCACCTCCTGTATTCCCACCCACAAGCGCTCCCATGATATACACCAACCACGCCAGTTTATGCTCGTTAATATCAGACCCCGATGCCGTACATGCTCCGAACAACTCCAACACCTGTGAAAAAAGCAGCCTAAGGACCCATCCAGTTATGAGAAATAACGTCCCCCAGGTTTGGTAGCAATGGTGATGACATTCACATGGTGAACTTATTGGAGAATGTGTTCCTAGACATTCAGAAAATTCAAAATAAGGATCATTATAGGTTCCTGGATGATTCCCTGCTGACGACCCATTCATCCACAACAACACTAATAGACTATAAAATATCCATTTCCATACCATAACCCTCCCATTTCCTATCACCAATACTTATACTACTATACTGTTAACAATACGTTTCCCCCTTATTACATGTTGTGCCGTCTTTTGATAGTTCAGTCGCGCCAGCTGAGCTATAACCTCCAGCTGCTCACCTCCTAAACCACAACAAAAACGAGTTGGAGTAGGAATATATGTTCGCTCTCCTCAGCTGAGCTCAGGGGATTCCTCACTACTTATAGTACAAGCCTATATACGAACTATGGCAGCAGTGTACGCAAAACACTGAGAATTTCGCAAAATTTCCTCATAGTTTTCCGAATATTGTCACCAACACATGCATTTCGCCGCCGCATTTTATATTACTCAAGACCTCATCTTGAAGGGCGTCCTCAAAGCCCTCATCATCCATAGGGTCTTCACCGCGCGCAGCCATATCCGCCAGAAACAATCTCGAGTCTATGTAACTGTATACGCATATCATACACAAATGTAAGAAGGAAGATTTTTTAGATGTCTACCTACACCTGTTCACATTGTAGTTTCACCCTAGTGATATGAAAAACACTAGTGAACAACATATTTCATGACTACTGCATAGCGTTTTTCACAGAGTATTACGCCACTTCACGTGAAACGGGTGAAATTCCATTGTCGGCCTCTGCGTTAGCATTTTGTCTACATTTTCACTTACAAAAAGAGGAATATTATCACTATATATACTATATATACCACTGGCAGAACACAAGGTATAGATTTACTTATAAGAATAGAGTGTATAGTAGAGTGATCACAGAGCCTCCGAGAGCTACCGTGCTTACCGTGAATACGTACACGTTTGAGTATACACGCATGCACTCACGTCCACATATATACTATATATATACTATATCTACTATATATACTATATACCTGATGATTACCTCACAGTAATGGTGTAGATATAGTCCTCCAGTTTAGAGTGGAAGCCCGGTGTCTTATCCTTATCATTCATAATAGGGCTCACAAGCTGCGCCCAGAATTGCAGTAGATAATGTTTACTATTGGGCAGCACCTAATAACATCATCAATTCATACCACATTTCCGCCACTTCCTCCACTCAACAACACCCCACCTGCCAATTCTTTATCGCATCAATAGTAAACCCATACACTTGCTCCAACCACA